TAAAAAGGGAAAAGCCGGGGCTTCAGGTTGGGTGGAGTGCGTGGAGTATTCAGGTGCATCAGGCGGTGAGGCGCAGGTGGAACAGGCAGCTCTCCCAGAGCGCGGGGTGCCCACCCAAAGACTGTGACTCATGGTAAGTGTATTTATTTAGAACATCAACGTGCAGAGTTGTCTAATGAGAAAAGTAATTTGCAGAATAGAATGTGTTCTGATTTTTAAAGGACATATGTATTCTGTCTAAAGGATCTATATTATATTTATACACACCAAGCTGGCTGCTGCCGGGGAGTAAGATTGAATAGATAGGTAGAGAGCCTTTATATTTTTTTACTTTATACACTTGTGTACTGCTTGTTTGTTTGTTTGTTTGTTTCTTGGATGAGCACATGTTACTTCTATAATGATTTCAAAAGGCAAAGCTATGGCCAGTGCTGGAGGTTAGGCACCTTCCGCTAACCCAACTCTATAAGCCACCTTTCATCTCTCTCTTTCTGGAGTCTGTTTTCACTTATTTTTACGAAAAAGATGAAAGAAGAGACAAATACACATGACCAAAGGACAGGAGGAGAAATTTAAAGTCTTATGAACGAAGAGCCATATGAGTCTGAATGCCTGGGACAGGCCACCGCAGGAATGTTAGCGGTGAGCCTGTGCGCTCCCTTCTTGTTGCCCCAGGCTCTGTGTCCAGAAACCACTGTCATAAAAAAGCAAGCAATCCCTACTGGGGGCATCCCTTTCTGTAGGGGCATAGTTGTCATTCTTCTCTCTGGTAACTTGTTACCTTCAGTGGTGACAGTATAATAGAGAGAAGTTTGTGTACACCTATATTCCTATTATATTTACCATTGCATTCCTCCTGCCCAGGCATCCCTAACCCCAGGTCTGTGACATCCACCCAACAAGAGGCATGTAATTAGAAATCAGGGGTTCTATATATTTGGATGGGGAAAAAATTACATCTTTATTTCCAGTAATCTTTGATCTAAATTTAGCATTTCCTATATTTAGGAATGTAGGTAATAAAAAATAGTACTGGTGACAATGTCATCAACAAAAATCATAAATACCTTCATCTTACAGACGTTGCATATCTTTTGATTATATATCACTGTGTAGAAAGTATGGTAATAAATAATTTAATATATTAAAAACAAAGTATATTATTACTGTATTGCATTTTAAAATTATTTTAATAATTATTAATTGTAATTGGTGATTTTTATGTGTCTATGTATTTCAGTTCATGCATTTAAAATAATTGTTTTGAGAAGGGAACCAAAGGCTTTTTACTTTATATGTTTCAAATCATTGTTCTGGGATAGAGTCCTCCCCTAGGCTTCCCCAGACTGCCAAAAGAATCCATGCCGCAAAAATGTTATGTACCCTGACCCAGCAGGAGTCAGTGGTGACAAAGATGCATCAATACAGAGGCGTGGGACACAGGCTGTGCCACTGACTCCCCATGTGACCTGGGACAACATGTTTTACCTCTGTTTTGACATCTATCAGACGTTTTCTGATTCTGTGGCATCTGGTGTATGTTTTAAGGTCTTAAATTATTCTGAAATCAAGCTTAGCCGTAATCAGTCCTTACAACTGGAAAAGCACTAAGTGCAATTTTCCTTTGATTTAATGAGTACATTAGTCATTTCCCAGTGACCACTACTTTGAATTTTCCCAGCTTGTTAAAGAACTGATTTCTATTTCCCCCTGTGGAGGAGAGTAACACCCTTGAGGATAAATCAACAAGGCTTTATTAATCTCCTTCTAGGATGGCAGGCTACATTTCTGAAGCCTGTCTTTTCCTCTCCTTATTTCCTCTGTCTGCGTCTAGCACAATAGGATTGAGCCCTCTTAGAAGAGAACACCAGTTAGTTTATCCTGCTTAATCTTTTTCTTCTAGCTTGAAAAAGACGCCCCCCGCCCCCACCACCACAAGGGACTAGAGTTGACTTAGTGAGTGAGCTAAACCCTCTTTTGGCAAGAGAAGCTTGAAAGTAACTTTGCTCCCACAGTCCAGGCTGCAAAGCAGCCAGCCTCGGTATAAGCAAAACTGGATAGTTTTCTATCTTAAAATCCCTTGATTTAGGTTCAAACTGTCATATGTTAGTTTTACTTGGTTACAGTTCTGACGACACCCATATTTTTCACTGTGGATGAAAGACTAGGCTATTTAGAAATGAGTTAAGTGAGATCAAAGGCAATAGGGCACTGTGGCGTTTCAGAGCAGAAAGAGGCTCTTGGGATCACCTAGTCCACCCCCTTCAGTTTGGAAGGATTCATGGTAAGCACGGAAGGCCCCCAGAATGCCTGGGTTAGGTGCTGCTTCTCTGCTCCTACAGGCCCTGGGCTTCTCTTTCCATTCACAAGGCACTGGTTTCTTCAGGATCCAGCCGGCAGACAGTGTCTGGCACATAGGGTCAGTAAGTGTTACGTAAGCTCAGAGTGCGTATGATTGTAATTGGATCATGGGTCCTACCAAGAGTGTCTCCGCAGAGACCCAAGTGGCTGGTGGAGGGAGCTCAGCCAGCCAGTGAGCTTGGGCGGCCATGCCTTCCCCTTACCACTGGATTCTCAGCACAAGGATTCTCTTCACCCAGAGAAGCAGGAAAGGCAACAAGAACGGGCATGGGGAAATGTCCTGGGGCCATAGAGTTGATTGAAAAATGCTATTCTTTGGAGTAATGACCCTTCCCATCTGTATAGGGAAGAGAATCCTTGTATTTATTAAGCACCTATGTAGCAGGCACATTTATGTATTTATATACTTTACAGAATGTATTATTTAATCCTCACAACCCTGGTGATGGCTTTATTTCCATTTTCCAGAGAATAAATCAAGGCTTAAAGAAGTTAACTGATTTTCTCAGAATCATATAACTAAGAAATTGGGAGCTGAGGATTCACAGCCAGGTCTTTCTATATTAAAGCCCATAAACTTTCTTAGTTTTTGTCTATTATGAAGCAAATAATATATGAATCCTTTCTAGTTATAAAAATGTAAAATATTACCCACCTATATCAAATAAAACATACCCATCTCCTTTTTCTATCTTCCCCAAACCCACTGTCCTTCCCCAAGGACCCACTGTCAACAGTTTGGCCTGAATCCTTCCAGGTATTTTGCTCTGCATCCACACATACATATATGTCTATAGACATATAGAGCAGAACAAACAAATCCATAAATCAAGCTCAGACCTTTTCTACTACACCGTAGCTTCTTCATTAGGAAAAAAAAAATGCTAAGTTGCAACAAACTTTTACTTTTCCCTGTTTTATTTGTAGAGATAATAATTGTAATTATTTAGTATTCATTGACCACTTACTGTGTGCCAAACACTTCACTAAAGTGTTTTATGTGGATCATTTTATGTGTCCTTACAGGTAGTCCCCCTTTACTTATGAGGCATTTGATACACAGAGAGTTTAAGTAGATTGCTCAGGGTCACCCAGCTAAGGAACAGAACCAAAAGCTAAACCAGGGTTCTGGCTCCGAAGCCCACGTCCTTACCCACCATGCAGATGCTTCCATTGGCGACTGATCCCTCTAGAGTCAGGGCTTGAGGGTAACAGAGTGGCTTGTTCTAATTAACTGAGATCATCGTTTGGTTCCTACCGAAGGGCAGAGATCCCAGCACACAGTGTAGAGAAATAACTTCTGGAATATGTCAGCAGCCCTCGGCCAATCCCAGCAGTGTCTACAGTGCCATCACACAACCAACACTGCTTGCGTATGTATTTAGCATGAGTTAATGCATGAGAAACAATACCTGGCACAAAGCAAAGGCACTGGTTGCGCTTACATTCCTTAGTTTATAGTTCACAGAATGCTTTCACATGCAGTATGCCGTTTAATCCGTACAACAAACTCTGAGGAAAGGATGGTATAATTATGCCCATGGTATAGGTGAGGAACTGAGGCTCAGGTTGGTGAAGTGACTTAGGCAGCGCCTCACAGCTGGTTGGTGTTTGGTGCTGTGACCAGAACACACACCCTCTGAGGGAGAAGGTGGTTTTTCCGCTATGCTGAGCTCCTGTTGTACCTGCCTCCAGAACTGCAGGGATCTGGTGAGTGTACTGCTTCCTTATGACACAGAGTTTCAATAGGGATGAGGGATACCTCTTTCCAGAGTAGAGCCCTGGTGCTCAACGTCCACCAGACGAGAGGTTTGTTTGCTGATGCATCATCTGCATTCCCACTAATGCATGTTAATCCAAGCTGCCTGGCAAAAGGGACCCATGCCTCTAAGAGTTAAAAATGGCAAAGGAAGATTTGGCAGTAGATGGTGATAGTCAACTCCCCTGGGGTTGGAAAGGTCACCCAAGTGCAGGCTTGTGGAGGCCTGAATATCTTCTGTAGCATCCATGGCAAATCACCACCCCCACTTGCCCCTTGTCTTTTCTTCTTGTCACACCAAATATCCCCACTTCTGTTGTTCATACAACAGGGTTTCGAGACTCTTCATCACTCTGTTCCTCCTCCTCTAAAAGTGGTCCAGGCTGGATATTTTCGGTCTTGCACAGTGAGGCCCAACCCTCCAGGCGAGGTCTTCACACTATCATCTTCATTCCCCAAATTATCTTGTTAGTGAAAGCTAGGAGTACAGCTTTTATTTTTTTGAGAATCCATCTTTAAATCCCTATTGGCTAAATATATATTTTATCTGCACAAGTACTAAATCCTATACTGTACCTGATTCCGAACAATTTGGAGGATTTGGTGATAGAAGAAATAGTGGGGATACTGGGATAAAACAACCTTGCAACAGGAGGCTTCGAAACAGCTAGGGAGAAAAAGGCTGAAAGGTATTGTTCTTACACTGTCCTTTCTTCTACCACATTTTCTTCTCTTATCAAAAGAAAGAAAAAACAAACAAACCCCAAAACTAAAAATAAGGAAGTGGAATTTCCTAAAACCTGGGTCAAAAAGATCTAATATCTCAAATTCTTGGCAGGACATGGGATACCCACCATCGCTTACAAGGTATTGGCCCTTAGGGCCCTTTCTCTTTCCTGTCTCAGGAACTCAAACATGACCAGGAAGATCTTCACAAATACCAGGGAGCGGTGGAGGCAGCAGAACGTCAACAGCGCCTTTGCGAAGCTGAGGAAGCTCATCCCCACACACCCTCCAGACAAAAAGCTAAGCAAAAATGAAACGCTTCGCCTGGCAATGAGGTACATCAACTTCTTGGTCAAGGTCTTGGGGGAGCAAACCCTGCAGCAAGCAGGCGTGGCTGCCCAGGGAAACATTCTGGGACTCTTTCCCCAAGGATCCTACGTGCCGGACAGGACTCTACTTGGTGACTACCAGGTTCCTTCACTTGACCCAAGCCACAGCATTGCGTAGCGGGGCTCTGGCTGTCCTCACCCAGGGCAGCAACTGCTCGGAAGCCGCTGGCTGTCGACAGCCTTTTGCATGTTCCAGTGTCAACTTGATGAATAATTTGTGAGGCATGCATTTAAGCTTCACAGGAGGTGGCTCAGGGACAGCTGCAGGGAGCCAGACAGAGGCCATGAGGAAGATGGCTTTGGAGTCTGCCACCCGCGGAGCTCCAGGCAGAGCAGCCTGCCTCTATTTTACGGATCCAGGATCTGCATAAGATGTTGTTTGCGTGGGGAGGGTGGGAAGCATAGGTTAAAAACAGGTTTGCAAATCGCTGTTTTACCCAGTATGTTTTCAGTTACAAGGAAGGAGTTTCCCCATGACGGATCTCAGACAGATGAGTAGAAAATACTTGCCTCAGAACATATTTTACAGATTGTTTTGAAAAATGAGGTATATGTGATCGAGGGTGAACAAAATAACGTTGATAAATGTGAAAAGAGCCCTCACAGAAACCAACCGGAAGACTTCTGGAAACTTGAGGGAAAAGACACATGAGGATTACAGAAACGCAGCAGGTAACATGTGGAAGAGCTCTGCATTCTTTATCCCTGTGGAAATATGAAGTGTTACCTGCCTTGAGCCATTTATATCTATGTTATCTCTAAAGCCAAATGGTGGATTATTTCTGTGAGAGGAAAGGACTTGATAATTTATGAATTAGAGTTCATAGTTTTCTAAATAGCTAAAACAGGTTATCTAACCCCTTAGTTGCGCATGTCAGGCATTAAAATGTTTAATTCAGCCTGAGTTCCTGCTGGTTTAAGACCTGTAAAATTCAAATATAATTATGAAAATCCAAACATTACTGTTTAACGACTCATTTAACAGAGAGCTTAGTTTAAACAAAAGATCTAGAGTAGACAATAGGAATGTAATACCAGATTTTAATGAATTAATGAATTTGTAATTTGTCTTCCTAGCTATGGAGCATTAGCTCAATTTGATGCAGGTAGGAGTGGTACCCACTAGTCAATGAAACAGTGTGGATCTGGCAGAACTACTGACAACCACGTGCCCCCACCCCCCGATGATTGGATTCAAAGATGGATTCAAGGATGAATCCCATGGCTGAGCCCAGAATACAAATCACGTCAGTTGATTGTCTCTGGGACATCTTATTTCCCTAAAGTTCTTGACAGTACATTGGTTTTAAAACCTTCTGAACCACAGGTATGAAATTGATGGATTTGCAATTACGGGTTTCCAGTGTATACACAATAGAGGAATTTAAATTTCCTGCTACTCTAGGAAGAAGATGTTGATTTATGGAAGGTTGAACTGGGCCTCTTTGGTTTGGTGATCAGAAAAAGGGCTGGGTGAGGCTCCCCCAAAATCTCCTTCCCCCCAAATAACAAGGTCATAATGTCATTAACATTTACACAGCATTCACACTCATAGCCCAATGCATTTATCTGAAGCACTATGTTTTCCTTCTAGGTCCTTTCTTTAAACTACATTCTGTACACTTCCCTACGGACCCAGAATAGTCCAGGGAAACATATATGCGCAGAGACTAAGGGATTTCCTCCGAATGTGCATTTCTTGCTCATGGGGTTATGTGGACTTAAATTTGCCCCAAACTACCAACTGATAGTATATCTCAAAGCTTTGATGACAGTTGTCAGTTGAACAACATTACTTACTCTCTCATGTGGCATTAAATCAAAATAACACCTTTGATTTTTTTAGCATTTTTATGTTAGCTTCCTATTAACATGTTGCTGACGAGGGCACAGAGGACCTCTTTGCCTGAGTGCAGGATTTTACTGCTCTTCTCAGAATGAGTGCCCTTGGGCACCTGGGTGGCTCAGTCGTTGGGCGTCTGCCTTCGGCTCGGGTCATGATCCCAGGGTCCTGGGATCAAGTCCCACATCGGGCTCCCTGCTCAGAGGGGAGCCTGCTTCTCCCTCTCCCACTCTCCCTGCTTGTGTTCCTGCTCTTGCTATCTCTCTCTCTCTGTCAAATAAATAAATAAAATCTTAAAAAAAAAAAAAAGAATGAGTGCCCTTTTCTGCTGTTGGGGCCATGTCTGTTAGTACAGAGGACCTTCCTACTGAAGTGTAAGAGAGTGCTCCTGAAAAGTCATGAGGAGATTGAGTTACCATTAAACTATATGAGGGGGATAATGATTTAAAGAAACCCTGCAGGAAATTCCATTGATAAACGAATAAACACTTAAAATATTACTTGATGTAATTCA